TCTTGGGGGCTCCTTGGGGCGTCTTGGCGGCCTCTTGGGGGCCTCTGGCGGCCTCTTGGGGCGCTCTTGGGGCCCCCACGGGGCTCGCGGGGGTGGAAAGCTAGATTTGTTATTTGTTCCCCCACATGTTTCGTGGGGTTCTGGTTTTCTTCCCTGCCGCGCCGCACCCGCGTCTCACACCTCCCCCCTCCCCTTCTCCTTCTCGCACGGCACGGCACGGCACGGCACGGCACGGCACAACACAGCTCACCGCACAGCAGCACAGCACAGCACAGCACAGCACAGCATACCACACAGGGCATTCCTTCGACGCCACAGGGGGTGGGGTGCGCAGAGGGTGGTCCCTCAGCGCGGCCTCTATCCGTGACACGCTCGCAGATCGTGGCAGGCGTGGCACTTTCTCGACACCACAGGGGGTGCGCAGAGGGTGGTCCCTCACCGCTGCCTCTATCCGTGACACGCTCGCAGATCGTGGCAGGATTGGCACTTTCTCGACGCCGCAGGGGGTGCGCAGAGGGTGGTCCCTCAGCGCGGCCTGTATCCGTGACACGCTCGCAGATCGTGGCAGGAGTGGCACTTTCTCGACACCACAGGGGGTGCGCAGAGGGTGGTCCCTCAGCGCGGCCTCTATCCGTGACACGCTCGCATATCGTGGCAGGAGTGGCACTTTCTCGACGCCACAGGGGGTGCGCAGAGGGTGGTCCCTCAGCGCGGCCTCTATCCGTGACACGCTCGCAGATCGTAGCAGGAATGGCACTTTCTCGACACCACAGGGGGTGTGCAGAGGGTGGTCCCTCAGCGCGGCCTCGCCTCTATCCGTGACACGCTCGCAGATCTTGGCAGGAGTGGCATTTTCTCGACACCACAGGGGGTGCGCAGAGGGTGGTCCCTCAGCGCGGCCTCTATCCGTGACACGCTCGCAGATCGTGGCAGGAGTGACACTTTCTCGACAGCGCGGCCTCTATCCGTGACACGCTCGCAGATCGTGGCAGGAGTGGCACTTTCTCGACACCACAGGGGGTGCGCAGAGGGTGGTCCCTCAGCGCGGCCTCTATCCGTGACACGCTCGCAGATCGTGGCAGGAGTGGCACTTTCTCGACGCCACAGGGGGTGCGCAGAGGGTGGTCCCTCAGCGCGGCCTCTATCGTGACACGCTCGCAGATCGTGGCAGGAGTGGCACTTTGACACGCTCACAGATCGCGTGGCAGGAGTGGCACTGTCTCGACACCACACGGGGTGCGCAGAGGGTGGCCCCTCAGCGCGGCCTCTATCCGTGACACGCTCGCAGATCGTGGCAGGAGTGGCATTTTCCCGACACCACAGGAGGTGCGCAGAGGGTGGTCCCTCAGCGCGGCCGCTATGCACGACGGTCGTCCAGGGCATAGCAGGCGTGGCACTTTCTCGACACCATAGAGGCTGCGCAGGGGGTGGTCCCTCACCGCGGCTGCTATGCACGACGGTCGTCCAGGGCATAGCAGGCGCGGCATTTTCTCGACACCATAGAGGCTGCGCAGGGGGTGGTCCCTCACCGCGGCCGCTGGCTGGCTCGAATCTGTCCTCGACGGAGGATAGAAGGCTAGGAAGAGGGAGGAGGTTCAAGCAATATGGCGTTGGATGACACATAGGGGAACATTAGCGACGAGGGCTGATAACGCAGAATTGCACATATATTATAAACTTGAGCAAACACTCAATCTTTAAGTTAAGTATGTGGGGTTCCTCGGTAGCGTAATTGGTTGCCCTCTTGGGCCCCTCTTGGTGCCGTCTTGGAGCCTTCTTGGGCCGTCTTGGGGACCTCTTGGGCCTTCTTGGGGCCATCTTGGGCCGTCGTGGGGCCGTCTTGGGGGCCTCTTGGGCCGTTTTGGGGCGGTCTTCGGGGCCTTTTGGGCTGCTTTGGAGCGTCGGAAAACCCACGAGGCGAATCTGTGAAAACTATACGTTTTACCAAGGAAATGATCAATTTGTTGCGTCTTGGGACCCTCTTGGGGCGCATCTTGGAGGCCCCTTGGGGGCGTCTTGGGCCAGCTGGAGGCCATCTCGGGCGTCTTCGATCGCTCTTGGACCGTGTGGGACCATGTTGAGCTCTCTTGGAAGCCACTTGGAGCGCTCCTGGAGCGCTCTTGGGGCCGTCTTCGGGGCTCTCTTGGGCCGTCTTCGGCGCCTCTTGAGCCGTCTTGGCGCCCTCTTGGGCTGTCTTGGGGCCCTCTTGGAGGCTTCTTGGACCGTCTTGGTGCGGTCTTGGGGGCCTCTTGGGCCGTCTGGGAGCGTCGGAAAGCCCAAAAGGCGAATTTGTGAAAAATCTACGTTTTACGAAGGGAACGGGCCAACTTGTTGCGTTTAGAGGCCCTCTTGGGGCGCATCTTGGATGCCTCTTGGGGCCTCGTGGGGGCATCTTGGGCCGTCTGGAGGCCGTCTTCGGTGTCTTTGATCGCTCTTGGACCGTCTGGGACCATATTGAGCTCTCTTGGAGGCCACTCGGAGCGCTCCTGGAGCGCTCTTGGGGCCGTTTTCGGGGCCCTCTTGGGCCGTCTTGGACGCCTGTTGGCCCGTCTTGGGGCCCTCTTGGGCTATTTTTGGAGCCCTCTTGGAGGCTTCTTGGGCCGTCTTGGGGCGGTCTTGGGGGCCTCTTGGGCCGTCTGGGAGCATCGGAAAACCCAGAAGGCAAACTTGTGAAAAATGTACGTTTAACGGAGGGAATGGGCAATTTTTTGCGTCTAGGGACCCTCTTGGGCCGCATCTTGGAGGCCTCTTGGGGCCTCGTGGGGACCTCTTGTGCCGTCTAGGAGGCCTCGTAGCCCGTCTTTGGGCCACCTTGGGCGTCTTGGAGCGCTCGTTTGGCGTCCCGGGGCCATTTCGAGGCCACCAGAGGAGTCCTTGCAGGATTTTTGGGAGCGGATGACCTCCCCCGGGGGAATCGGGGAATTTGGCCGGACCCCCCCCCCCTCCAAATCGACCGGACCGGGCTCCCGGGGGAGGGGTTTGGGGAGGGGGATGATCTCACACGCCGATGAACCCCAAGGGGTCAGCGGATTTCCGACAATTGCACCAGTTGTCATTGCACAGCGCTGGATGATCCCCCTCAGCGGACGCCCCAGGTGCCCCCTTTGACAGGGACGGTGCCGAAGGCGAGAGGGTCCGGCGGCCAGCCGGGACGAGAAGACGCCTTTGTGCGCGTTGGGAACCCCCAAACCGGGTGGTAAGATACCAGGTGGCGACCTGGAATCCCTAAAAAAGTCACCGCTGGGTTTGGGGACGCGGGGTCACCACCGGGTTTTGTGACTCCTGGACCCACCAGTGTCCGGGACATCCTCGGAAAACCGCACGAGTCCCCAAAACGGGTGGTGACACCAAATCGTCAGAGACTCACCGCCAGGTGTTGTCACCACCACGTTTGGGGATTACCAAGTGCGGCGGCTGTCGCTGCTGCAGCGGCTGCCAACGAATCAAGCCGGCCATCGCCGCGAAACGCCAGCAGCGCCTCCGTGCATGCACCTGGTGCTGGAGGTGACAACTGTGGACGACGGCCACAGGGACCCGCCCAGGCCGCGCCCTTTGGGCGCATGTTCTTCTTCGCCTTCTTCTTCTTAGGATTCGTCTTCTTTTTATTGTTCCTGTTTGTCGTATGATTATTATCTTCATTATCATCAGTATTACAGTTATTCGTACTGCGTATTGCTATTCGCATTCTTATTACTTGTTGCTAGTACTGTTATTTAATCGCTTCGCTCATTCCTCCGGCCCATATTGCGCACCGCGGCGGCCTGGCCGAGAGGTCGTCGGCAGTGCGGAGCTGCAGGGAGCGTCGGCCCCAAAACGTTTCCACAGGCTCTCAGGAGGGCTTCAGAACGGCTTCAGAGCGCCTCAGGACAGCCCAAGAGAGCCCCAAGAGGGCCCAACCTCGGTACGAGGAGGAGGAGGCGAGAATGAGGAGCAGGAAGGTGGATGAGCATGAGGAGGAGGCCTCTCGATGGCTTCTGGAAGCATTGTGGGGCCAAACTTGGTCGTGGAGAAGGTGCCTCCGTGGGGCCTCTTGGGAGCCTCTTCGAAGCTTCTTGGGAGCCTCTGGGGGGCCTCTTGGGGCCTCTTGAGGGCCTTTTGGGGGCCTCCGTGGGCTTCTTGAAGGCGTGTTGGCGGCCTCTTGGAGCCTCCTGGGGACCTCTGGGCCAAAAGCTCGAAGTGTCCGTTCGGGTGCCCCGTCTGGGCTCGCTTTTAGAGCCGTCTTGGGCCATTTTGGAGGTCTCTGGGACTGTCTTGGGGCCCTCTGGGGCCCTCTTGGGCTTATCTTGGTGGCTTGTTGGGCCGTCTTGGGGCGATCCTGGAGGCTTTTCAGGCAAGTTTGGACGCTGTGAGCCCCAGACGTCGTATATGCAAAAAAAAAAAGTTTTCCAGAGTTGGGACGATTTTTGCTTATTGGGGCACTCTTGGAGAGCCTCTTGAGGCTCCCTTGGGGCTTCTCGGCGGCCTCGAGGGCCGTCTGAAGGCCATCTTGCGCGTCTTGGACCGCTCGTTCGGTGACTCGGAGCGCTCTTAAACTGTCTTGGAAGCCTCTTGGAGCCTTCTTGGCGCGCTCTGGGCGGCCTCAGAGACCCCACCCAGGAGGAAAACCATCTCTGACAAGGGGTGGCCGGGCGGCGGGCGGGGTACTTTTGGCAGGGGCACCCCCAGGGGCCGCCCCGCGCGCGCGAACTAGAATGTTGTTAAATGATGTTAATCAGTTACCGGAGATCTTTGCACGCCTCTGGCCCGTTGGGCTGGCGAATTACTATTGTTATTTGTCTTCTTATTACTATTATCATGATCCTCCTTCCTGAGGCCTCGGGAAGAGTCGCGCAGCGAACTCCGAGAGCGCCCGTGCGCCTGAGGAGGTGGCGCTGGAGATGGGGGGCTCGGCATCGCTCGGACGTGTGCGTTCTTTCTCGGCGAGGACCACCGAGGAGCATCCGGGATCACCTGGCGAAAAAAAAGCACGTACGACACCGAACAACGCACGGGGAAGGGACGTCCGAGCGACGGCGAGGGGAGAGGCGGGCGCGGGGGGGGGCGCCCTCGCCCCTGGCTGCCACGAGCCGCCGTGGTTCCCTTGCCGGCCGCAGCCACTTGGCTGACAGAGACGCTCGTTGCTCCGCCTCGCCAGCACTCGGCGGCGAGCGAAAGGGGGGTAAGTGGGGAGGAGCAGTCCCTCTCAGAAGGCGGCGGGACTTCTCAGAAGCCCTGGCGCGCCCTCGGAGACGTTTTTTGTGCATCTTCGGGGGAGGCTTCGAAAACTTCTCGGCAGGCCGGGGGACTTCCGAGCCTCGTGAGCAGGCCTTCTCCTCCTCGCTCTCCCCCCCTTTCGCTCGCCGCCGAAGCACGGGAGCCCGAGAGCCGACGGAGCCTCAGGGATGCCGGCCGCTTCCGCTCGCCGCAGCGGGCTGGTGCCCGCCTCGCTGGTCGCGGCGGCCACTTTGGCCTCCGTCTCGCGCACGTTCGTCGCGCCGCGGACGCCCGCGGCGCGCTCCGGGAGGACGGCCGCGCGGGGCTTCAAGGAGGACTTCGAGGCGTGGAGGGGGTCGCTGACGCCCGAGGAGAGCACGATGCTCAAGAAGCAGGCGGCGGGCGAGTTCAACAAGAAGTTCCGCAAGTCCGACGAGTTCAAGAAGGACCTGCCGGACGAGAAGGTGCAGTCTTTCTCGAAGATTCTCGGCAAGTTCTTCGAGGCGGAGGCCGACGACTACAAGAAGGAGCCGGGGTCTGAGGCCCCAGACCCTGACGGCCTGCTGTTCAAGGGCACCGAGTCCAAGATGGACTTCAGGCTGAAGAGCCGGATCGTCGAGATCGACCGCGACGCGGAGCGCCGCTACCATTTCGCCGCGTTGAGGACCACGCACGCCGCGTACAGGGGGGAGTTCTGGCCGAGCAGCTCCCCGATGAAGGACGTGTACTATTTCCAGAACAATGACACGGACTCGCACGACATGTTGGTGAAGGCGGTCGAGAATGCGGGGGTTCCTGTGGAGGTTCCTCCGGTCGGCGAGAGGTTCAGCCTGGTGCTTCCCAGATGCTTGTTTCAAGATATCAACGAGGTCGGCGCCAATCTCATTGCCTGGAAGGAGCAGTTTGGCGTTTCGGATGACGACTACAAACAGGCGGTCGAGAAGGTCACCACCGACCTGATTTTGGGATACTATAAGGCCCGCGAGACGATTGAGAAGGACGTCACGGACATGAAGAACTTCTTCAAGTCTCAGTCGAAGGATCTGTACAAGACCAAGGCCGATGTTATGAAGGAGATCTGGAGGGTGTTCGAGGAGAAGTCTGGCAAGAAGATGCCCCCGCTGGATGAGGAGTTTCTGGCGGACCTCGAGCAGATTCCTGCCGTGGACGAGGTCTCCTTCAGGCACCCCTGGGGTATCGCAGACAAGCTGTACAAGTCGGAGGCCATCGACGCCTTCGGCTTCAAGTACCTGCTGGGCGTCTTCGAGACCGTTCCGGAGGCCGAGGCGGCCTTCGACAGCTGGAACGCCGAGTTCGATCAGGCGCGCGCGGACATGGAGAACGAGCTGGGCCAGTGGAGCAAGCAGGAGCAGGCGCGCCTCGACGCAGACACCGCCGGCCAGGAGGCCATGAAGGTCGTGATGGAGCAGGGCAGGGCTTGAGGGCCCCGCCTGGCTCCACCTCGTGCGGGGCGCCTTCGCCCTGCCCGCGGCCGAGCGCCGCGGGTGCTTCCCCGTGGAGACGCCGCTGCTGAGCGGCCCGGCCCGCCTCCACCACTGTGTGGGCGCGCTCGCCCTTTGGGCGGCCAGTCTTGAGTTGCTGTGAAAACAGCATTCGTTTTCACCATGGGAGCGACGCACACAAGAGCGGGGTCGCCTTCGCCGACTTGGGCGCGCAAGCCGCCCGCGTAAGGTCGCGCGTAATTAGGCGCCCTCGTCTCAAGTGCGGCGTGCCGCGCCGGCGGCCCGCGCAAGCTGCGGCGTAAGGTCGCCGTGCCATCTCGCGTAAGGCTCGTGTTTGATCGTCGCTCATGTGTTGCACTGCTCCGTTGATCGTGGTGCCAGTGCTGGACGCATTTTAGAGCGAACAAAATGTGGGCGTCACATCGTCCAGCTGCTGGTGGCAAGCTCCGCACCAGTGCAGCGTCCCCGCGAGATTTGTGCAGGACAGGTTCTCGCATTCTCCCAGAGGCTCGGTAGAACCATGGCTCTACGGAGTCCTACGGGTCCCAGGGACGCTTTTGGGCCATGTTGCGCGCGATGGTTTTATTGCGGTCGTCCAAAGGACAGGCTCGGCAGAGTTGTCTGGTGGCCGTCAGGGAAGCAGCGCTACGATGTTGTATCGTGGCGTGGCCGTGACGTTGCATGGCTATTGCGCTGTCTTTTCAGGTCTTCTGAGTGCCGAATCCTGAGTTTCTTTGGGGCCCGTTGGAGTTCTCTTGAGGTCCTCTTGGAAGCCTCTCGGCGGCGTCTGGAGGGGCTCTTCGGAGCTTGTTGGGGGTCTTCGGGCCGTCTTGGGCACGATGGTTTCGTCGAGCTCTGCCGTAGAGTGTGAAGGCCCACGGGAATGCTTCTCGGCCTCTAAAGCAGTGCTTTCGCCCAGCGAAGCCGCACCCCCTTCGCCTCCGCGCGAAATGCCGTGCTCCTGCGTGGAATTGCATTTTCCTTGGAATTATTGCGCGTTATGAAATTTTCGCGTGACGTACTCGCTTCCGTACATCAACAACATGTTGCACCACTTTTGTTGCGCATTGGCGCCTGATTATATTGCATTGTTCTTTCCCCCCTCCCCCCGATCTTAATATTGGGTGCATGGCGAAAAGCCCTTGGGAGGTCCAGGGGCTCTCGACAAAATGTTGCACCACCGAGCAGTTTCGACTAGCACAGACTGAACCCAATATTTCGACCGGGGGGAGGGGGGGTGGAAAGCAAACACTTATAGAACAGCGATGCGATGTATTGTCCGCGCCAGGTGGTGCAACATTTTGTTGATGCACCGTTTCGTACACCCGCGGGCACGAGCGAAGGCATTGCGCGCGCGTCGTTTGGCGCCGTCGGATGCTGCTCAAAACGATCGACCGCAGGAACCATCGATTTTTGCGAACGTTGCGTTCGCAAGCAAAATGCTCCGCGCTTTCGCCGCGCGCGCTCCGCACTTCTCTTGGATTGAGCAACATTGCGCGGAAATTCCAGAAATGGAGGCCGCGCGAAAAATGCAAAATCGCGCAGCGCGCGTTTTGGCAACAGTCGCAAACTTGGCGGCTCGCGTGGATTTTATTATCGCGCGCGGATTTCTTTAAACTTACCGAACTCCACAGAGATTTCCAGCGACACCCCAGTAGCGCCTAAGAGCGCCCGAGAGCGTTTGGGAAATTGGGGGCTTGGGCCATTCAGAACTTTACAAACCCTTTACCCCTCAGGGCTGGCTGCATGGGCCTTGGGGCACTATTTCGTGTCAAAAACACGGTGGCTGATCTCGTTGAATAATTACAAGCCGTTGTTTTTTTTGGGGGAATCGCAATAGTCATAACTGCTTACAGGAGGTTCCCAGAAGTGTCGGAAGTCGGAGGGGCTTCAGTAGTTTGGGCAGCAAGAAGATTTATGCGAGGTAGAAAGGTGAGAACAGTCACAAGTTTCAGAATCTTTCGATCCGTTCGAACGGTGGGGCAATCCAGAGGATCTAGACGATTCACACGAGTTGGAAAACTTAGAACGCTAGCTGTAGTGCCCATCGGACGCGAGCCCAATGCCTGGTGGTGGTGGCGATCGTGCCTCCCCACTTGGTGCCCGCAGCGCCGCCGTGCATGCAGGTGCTGTGGCTCTTTCTCGCCTCGCGACTTGCTCGCGCGATGCCTGTACTGACCGCAGCCATTTTGGCTCACACTGGAACGTGCGCTGCTCCACCTCGCCGACGCCGCCCCGAGAGCGCCCCCCCCAACTGGCCGCAGCGGCAGAGACACCGAGCCTCAGGGATGCCGGCCGCTTCCGCTCGCCGCAGCGGGCTGGTGCCCGCCTCGCTGGTCGCGGCGGCCACTTTGGCCTCCGTCTCGCGCACGTTCGTCGCGCCGCGGACGCCCGCGGCGCGCTCCGGGAGGACGGCCGCGCGGGGCTTCAAGGAGGACTTCGAGGCGTGGAGGGGGTCGCTGACGCCCGAGGAGAGCACGATGCTCAAGAAGCAGGCGGCGGGCGAGTTCAACAAGAAGTTCCGCAAGTCCGACGAGTTCAAGAAGGACCTGCCGGACGAGAAGGTGCAGTCCTTCTCGAAGATTCTCGGCAAGTTCTTCGAGGCGGAGGCCGACGACTACAAGAAGGAGCCGGGGTCTGAGGCTCCTGACCCGGATGGCCTGCTGTTCAAGGGCACCGAGTCCAAGATGGATTTCAGGCTGAAGAGCCGGATCGTCGAGATCGACCGCGACGCGGAGCGCCGCTACCACTTCGCCGCGCTGAGGACCACGCACGCCGCGTACAGGGGGGAGTTCTGGCCGAGCAGCTCCCCGATGAAGGACGTGTATTATTTTCAGAACAACGACACGGATTCGCACGACATGCTTGTGAAGGCGGTCGAGAATGCGGGGGTTCCTGTGGAGGTCCCCCCGATCGGCGAGAAGTTCAGCCTGGTCCTTCCCAGATGCCTGTTTCAGGATATCAACGAGGTCGGCTCCAATCTCATGGCCTGGAAGGAGCAGTTTGGCGTGTCGGATGACGACTACAAAGAGGCTGTGGAGAAGGTCACCACCGACCTGGCTTTTGGATAGCTATAAGTCCCGCGAGACGATTGAGGAAGGACACGGCGGACAGAAGAACTTTTCTTCCGTCGGCGCATTCGAAGGATCTGTACAAAGACCAAGCCTGTTATGAAGGGAGATCTGGAGGGTGTTCGAGGAGAAGTCTGGCAAGAAGATGCCCCCGCTGGATGAGGAGTTTCTGGCGGACCTCGAGCAGATTCCTGCCGTGGACGAGGTCTCCTTCAGGCACCCCTGGGGTATCGCAGACAAGCTGTACAAGTCGGAGGCCATCGACGCCTTCGGCTTCAAGTACTTGCTGGGCGTCTTCGAGACCGTTCCGGAGGCCGAGGCGGCCTTCGACAGCTGGAACGCCGAGTTCGATCAGGCGCGCGCGGACATGGAGAACGAGCTGGGCCAGTGGAGCAAGCAGGAGCAGGCGCGCCTCGACGCAGACACCGCCGGCCAGGAGGCCATGAAGGTCGTGATGGAGCAGGGCAGGGCTTGAGGGCCCCGCCTGGCTCCACCTCGTGCGGGGCGCCTTCGCCCTGCCCGCGGCCGAGCGCCGCGGGTGCTTCCCCGTGGAGACGCCGCTGCTGAGAGTCCCATGGAGAGGGAGCCCCCAAAGTTGGCTCCCGAGGGCCCGGCCCGCCTCCGCTCCGTGGGTGCGCCCGCTCTTTCTGAGCGGCCAGTGTTGGACTGCTTCGAAGCAGCTACACCTCTGCGCGTCTTGGTACGGGTACCAGCAGCATGATTTTTCATCGGTCGCATCATCCGTCTACCCTTGCGGAGCGGAGCTCAAGTTGATTCTGCGAAGGCTGATCTGGTGGACCTGGTTGCACTGCCTGTTGGTCGTGATCCCAGTACCGAGTGCATTTTAGAGCGTATAAAAGGTATGTGTCGTATCGTCCAGCTGCAGCCCGCGTTATTCTAACGCAGCAGCGACATGTACATGCAGGATCATAGTCATAGTCGAGCTCTGCAGAAGTGGGTCGGTGGAACTATGGCTTTACAGGCCCCCACGGGCACCAAGGGCGCTCTTGGGCCTTGTTGCGAGCGGTGGCTCCACTGAGGTCTCGCGAAGAGGCTCAGCAGAGCCATCTTGGGGCTGGTCTGGGAATCAACGTCAGGATGTTATATTGTGGCGTGGCCGTGACGTTGCATGGCGATTGCATTGCCTTTTGGGGGCTTCTTGGCGCCGCAATCTACAAGCCTCGTCAAAAATATATTGACACGCAGTTCAAAATCGAGGCGCTCGATAGTTCGGACATTTGTGAGAACGCATGTTCTTCAATACTGTGAGGGGGTTGCCAGATTGCGGGACACCCCTGCGTCTGGGCCAAATATCTCATGTCAGCATTGAGGTAGCGCCGACCGCACAAAGCACCGAAAACAACAACCGTCAGTTCATGTTTGACGAGTCTTGTAGGTTTTTTGGGGGGCCCTTTGGGGTTCTCTTGGGGCCATCTCGGGAGCCCCTCGGAGGGAATCCTTTTAGAGCGCCCAGAACTCCGGCTTCAAAGACAGTGTTGCAATAGCCGGACGTGGTCTCACAAGCCAAACAAATTGTTGCACGATTATGTTTTTTTCTTTCGTCGTCGTTGTCTCTCTCTCTCTCTCCCTCTTCGACTCTGTGCCTGTCTCTGTCTCTTTCTCTCTCTCTCTCTCTTGTCGGTGCTCTCTCTCTCTCTCCCTCTCGCTCTTTGAGCTGCAGGTGCGGGCCGCAGGCAGACTGGGCGACACGTACACTGGAAGATTGGGCGCCCTGAAGGTGCGGGCTTGGGACACAGTACACGCATCAAGGGCAGCGGAAGTCTCTGTCTGCAGGCGCGGACCCAAACACCGGCCTGCATATCTACTCACCCCAAGCGCCACGGACACGCAGATTGAACCATGGGTTTTCTGCAGGTGCGGGCCCCGAGAAAACTAGGCCCGCAAATTCGTTCTTTCGAAGCGCCACAGACTCACCAAGGGCAGAGGAGCTGTCTTGAAGTGCTGTCTTGAAGTGCGGGCATGTTTGCCTGTTCAAAGCCCCACAGAAACCCAACACGGGCAGCGAACATTTCTGCAGGTGCTAACCTCAAACAAAAGGCCCTCGCAGTTATCTGTTGGCGCTTCGCGCCATGTACCTTGGTCCTTGAAGTTTGGCATGCAGGCAGAAGGGCAGGAAGGTCAAACGGGCGAGTTTGCATAAGTTATTGTTGTTTTTTTTCTGGCATCGCCGTTATAATAATGTTGTTCCCTACCTAGGCTCTGCCTAGAAGGGTTCTTACTCTCTGAGCTTAAAGGGGCCGGGCAGTGGGGCTCGCCCAGGGCGGTTCCCCCAGGATCCGCCCCGTGGTTCCCCCAGTGACGTCCCCTTAGCTTAGCGTTGCTTATCTCATTTCAGCTCAGCTTCTTTCATCTTAGCTTAGCTTAGCTTCATCTTAGCTCAGGTTTATCTTAGCTTAGCTTACCTTCATCTTAGCTTCGCTGAGCTTTAGCATAGCAGAGCACAGCATAGCATAGCATAGCGTAGCATAGCATAGCGCAGCACAGCATATCATAGCATAGCCCAGCATGGCATAGCATAGCGCAGCATAACATAGCATAGCATAGCGCAGCACAGCACAGCACAGCATCGTATAGCATAGCGCAGCTTAGCAAAGCATAGCATAGCTTAGCATAGCACAGCGCAGCATGACATGGCATAGCCTAGCATAGCATAGCATGGCATAGCATAGCATATCATAGCATAGTATAGCGCAGCACAGCATAGCATAGCATAGCATAGCGCAGCATAGCATGGCATGGCATAGCATAGCATAGCAACTAATGCTGCTTTTCTAGGGGCTCCAACTTCTAGGTAGGGTCGCACTGGGGTAAGTAATTATCATTCCTCCATGTTTATGTTTCCTCATTCTCGCCCTACCCTGCGAATTCGTTCCCGTCCTCCGCAGCTCTTTTTGCGGAGCCTCCTCCTTGGAGAGCCTCTGGGGGCCTCGCGTATGTGTTTAAGGTTTTCTTAAGGCCTTCTGGTGGCCTCCTGGGCGTCTTCTGGGGGCCTTTGGGGGCTTCCTCGGGCCACCCTGCCTCCAACCGCGGTCTCCCTGAACGATTGGGTCACGATCTGGAGTGCTTCGGAGGGTGCCTTGGGGCCGTCTTGGGCCCTCATGGGGCTCTCTTAGGCCGTCTTGGAACCCTGTTGTACCGTCTTGAGGCTCTCTTGGACTGCCTGGCCTCTCTTTCGGATGGTTTTGGGGCGATGTTCGGGTCTCCCAGGCCGTCTCGGACGCCTGGAGGACTGAAGAATAGGGCACCACCGAAATCATACAAAAACTTGAAATGTCAATGTTTTTCTGCGTTTTGAAAACCTCTTGGGGGTCTTGTTTGGATTGTCTTCGGGCGTCTGGTGGGTGTATGGGCCTCTTGGGGCCCTGGGGGGGCGTTTTCCCGCCCTCCTGGCCGATTTGGGCCCATTGCCCCAGCAAGGGCTTCCAGGAGCTCAAAAAAGATTGGTTGGCCTCCTGCAGGGGCGTCCAGGGGGCCCCTGGGGCGGCCACGCATCTGGGGGGTCCCGTTTCGGGGGGGGTCCTGGGTAATAAGAAAATCCGTAAGGGTTTCGCCCCGTGCCGCCGACCCCCTTGCGAGGCCGGATAGGAATCATCAGCGCATGTTGGGACGTTGGCGTTATCGAAGACGCTTACGGCGAATCACCGCCGCCCCTTGCCTTCTGGAATCGCCCATATGGCCGAGCGTTGTGGCAAGAGCTCAGCCAAGCTATCGGTCCCCCAACCGCTGTGGAAACCCTTCGGGGAACACTTGGAGGAGGACGGCGGGGAAGATCAGGAGGAGGAGGTGGAGGAGGAGGAGGAGGAAGAGGACCAGTGCAAATCCAAGAGTCATCAACGATGTTGGAATCAACCCTCCCTCCAAGCTCCCTCCTCATAGACTCGTACAACGGTTCATCTACACTAAGGGAACTGCCTCGTCGGAAGTCAACCGTTTGAAGAGTCTGAAGCATACCAAAACATTGTTCTCGGGATTGCCACGGATCAACCTGCTTGTTGCGTCTTGACGATCCTGAATCGTGCCAGAACGCCATTCTTGGGACTGCAGCAGACACCATTCCTGGTACGTTGACCAGGGGAATCCGTGACACTCTTGTAAATCGTGTGAACGAATGTGCGCGGCGCCAAGGCGAGAACCAAATTTTGAAAAAGGAACCGCCCTCAATCCGTGACATTCTTGCAAATTAGTAAAACGAATGTGCACGGCGCGAAGGCGAGAACCACAATTTGAACACCACCCGCCCTCAATCCGTGAAGCTCCTGCTAATTGCTTGAAGACGAATGCGCGCGGCGCTGAGGCGAGAACCAAAGTTTGAAAAGGAACCGCCCTTTACCCGTGATACTCTTGCAACTTAGTAAAACGAATGCACGCGGCGCCC